GGGGGTGAGCATCCACTCGCCCCCCCTCGTCCTGACACCACGCTCTCCAGAAGGGAATGAGCAGTGGGGCTGCTGCTGACATCGCCTGTCCCGGAGGAACCATCCGATTCGCTCCGAGAGCCAGAGTTGAAAAAATCAATGGCGTCATCCAGCGAACAGTCTCCCGCCATGGAGAGGCACTCCTCGACGTTAGCCTTGAACAAGGCTGCTTGCATCTGCCTCTCCTCCGGGGGAGGAGGTCACAGAGGTGGCAGGAGGAGGCGAGGTCGGCATGGCGGGGACCCAGGCATCCTTCGCAGATGTCGTGTCGGTCAAAACTCAACATGTAGCCGGCCTTGCAGGACGGACACAGGCGGATGACGTTGGTTCTGGACATCGTTGTTGAAACTCAGTGCTATATGCTTACTGAAGAAAAATGGGAGCTGATTACCCGCTCTTAACGTAATGTATACGGACCGGGTGGGGCCCACACAACAGGTGGGCTTGGACTAATTATTTCAGTGCGATGCTTTGCATGACGGGATAAACCCACCAGCGACAGCCTTAAAGGGCGAAGCCTATACGAAATAGAACTGAAAAGAAATGAAGACATTCAAAAGATTTTCTTAAGTTCATGTGTTCAGAGGTTAGCAGTACCTGAGTTTTGCTCTGAGTCTGTGTTTGTGAAGCCACCTTAGCCATCAGCTTTGACTCATGACCTTCTGACTGGCTGGCATCAGCCGCTCCACTGCCATGCTCCTAAAACAGAAGGGAAAACAAAAAATAAATAAAATCTCAGTAAAAACTAAAACTGATTAACAGAATTGACATCATTATCCTGCTAACTTTACTACGAAGTACATCTCATTGTTTGTTGTCACTCCAGCAGAGGAACATGGACAGGCAGGAGGTTCCATCATCGTGGGCATTCCTGTTGTATTCATTTATTCAAACCATTCTTTTTCCAGAATGGAAACCAGTTCTGATGCGTGTTTGATCTGTGTTTTCCACATGTTGAGCATCAGAGAAGTGCTCCAGGCAGTCTCTCCAGGCGACTGGTTCACCTTGGTCGACTTGAAGGATGCATACTTTCATGTACCGATTGCGCAGCACCATTGGCAGTTTCTCCGCTTTGCATTTCAGGGCAAGCATTTTCAATTCAGAGTTCTTCCATTTGGTCTTTCTCTGTCCCCCTGTGTGTTCACCCAGTGTGTGGCAGCAGCCCTGTACCCTCTGCAGGTCAAGGGGTTGAAGATCCTGCCCTACTTGGATGATTGGCTGATCTGTGCGCCAACACAAGCTCAGGCAGCTGCGGACAAACAGATGGTGCTCGATCACAAAGACCTATTGGGTCTTCGTGTGAACTGGGAGAAGAGCAACTTAATTCCCTCTCAGGAGGTCACGTTCCTGGGAACTACTATGAACTCCCTCACCATGCAGGCTTGCCCGTCGCCACAGCATGTCAGCAGGATTCTACAGATGCTGCCCGCCTTCCTGCCCGGCCGTGCACCCCCCTTCATTGCGTACCTTCATCTGTTAGGCAAGCTGACTGCTGCCTCCACAATGGTACCTCTGGGGCTGTTGTCTCTGTGCCCTCTACAGATGTGGCTCAACAGCCTGCGGCTGGATCAGACTTGTGCAGTGCACCGATGCAGGAGGTTGCTGGTGTCCCCTCAATGCCTCGCTTCACTGGCTCAGTGGCGAGATGCAGTGTTTATGGTGAAGGGGGTCCCACTGGGCTCTCTGCCGTCTCTGAGGGAGGTTGTTTGTACCGATGCATCCACCACAGGTTAGAGAGCATCGTGGCAGCGACGGATTGCCCAAGGAACGTGGTCTCCACAGCAAAAGGTGAGGCACATCAATGCCTTGGAGCTGGACGCTGTGCGGCTGGCACTAAAACACTTCTTCCCGGGCCTGCGCGGGAAGCATGTCCTGGTGCGTTCCGACAATACTTCTGTGGTTTTTCATGTCAACCATCAAGGTGGAACACGGTCGCTGACATTGTTGCTACTGACCCAGAACCTCTTACTTTGGGCAGCCTCCCTTTTTATCAGCCTGAGGGCAGCCCACATTCCAGGAGTGCGGAATGGACCGGCAGATTTTCTATCTCGGGGACGCCCACCACCTGGGGAGTGGTGGCTCCATCCGGAGGTGGTGAGGGTAATTTGGGAGAGGTACGGCAAGGCAGCTGTGGACCTGTTTGCATCTCAGGAAACGACACATTGCCCACTTTGGTTTTCTCTGGCAGGCAGTGCCAGTCCCCACAGGAAGGACCTCCTGTCAGAGTTGGGGGGTCAGCTCCTGCACCCCGACCCCAGTCGCCTCCTGCTCTGGGCTTGGCCACTACAGGGCCCGTCATTACCTTCTCAGAGTATGACAGGGAGGTCGCACATACAATGAATAACGCCAGGGCCCCTTCCACACGACTGTTGTACACATATAAATGGAAGGTCTTTAGCAACTGGTGTTGTGCCAGACAAGAGGACCCTGTACACTGTCCTCTTTCTGTTATTCTTACTTTCCTTCAGGCACTACTTTCTCAGGGCCGGTCTCCATCCACCCTTGTTTCTAAGAGGCGCCAGACGTCTGCATCCCCCCACACGCCTCGTCGTGCCTGTGTGGGATCTCTCTCTGGTCCTTGCTGCCCTGTGGTCTTCTCCGTTTGAGCCCTTGACGGACATGAGCCTTGAGTGCTTGTCTAAGAAGACCGCGTTTCTCCTAGCCATGGCTTCGGCCAAACGAGTAGGTGAACTACATGCACCGTCTGTTCACGAGCACAGTTGCCATTGGAACCTGGCTGGTTCGGGTGTTACACTCTGGCCTAACATAACGTTCCTCCCTAAGGTGGCCTCATCTGCGACCCACTCTCTGCCTCTCCAGCTTGCTCGCTTCAATGCAGATGGTGCTGACGAGCCTCTCTGCCCTGTTCGGGCACTGGAAGCGTACATCAAACGGACAGCTTCTTTGCGGCTGTCTGATAATATGTTCATTTGCTATGCAGGGCCTCGCAAAGGGCAGGCCCTTTCAAAGCAACGCCTTGCGCGCTGGATTGTGGACGTGGTGGAACAGGAGTACACTCTGCAGGGCCGCCAGCCACTTGTAGGGGTACCGATGCCATTCCACCAGGAGCGTTAGCGTGTCATGGGCCGCTATGAATGGGGTCACTCTGGAGGCAATATGTGCAGCAGCCTCCTGGTCATCCCCAAATACCTTTGCCAGGTTCTACAGGGTAAACCTGGCTGCCTTTCACCCGTTGGAAGGGATCCTATCACAGCACCCATCTTCGTCTGAGTAAGGTGGGCACACTTAAATTTTGTTTCTTCTAGTGGGTGTGATTCCTCAGGACTCTGTTGGCATTCGATATCCAGTGCTTTAAGCACCGCCTCTGGCGGTCAGTAGAGATGAAATAGAATGACAGTTACAGCTGTAACTACGGTTCTATGAATCTCGGATGACCGCCAGAGCGCTCGGTCCCTCGGAATCATAGCGTTTCGCGAGAAGATTAAGGGACTGGGCTACCGTTGTCACGTGCTTATATAGACTCACCGGTGTCACACGTGACTATGTTGGCATAAATTCTCGACCTGCGCATGCGCAAGAATGATCATTCAGTGCTTTAAGCACCGCCTCTGGTGGTCATTCAGGATTCATAGAACCGTAGTTACAGCTGTAACTTTCGTTTTTTTTTTCTTGTCTGAGGCAGCACAGAGTGACGGATCCTGGAGAGTGGAGGGAACAATTTTATACACTGCCAGGTGCAATGGAGGAGCCAAGGGGTGGCCAGTGGTGGCCTTGACCACCATAGATTAATCTTTGGCCACCCAAATTATTTGAAGACACTCCCCCCCCCCCCCCCCCCCCCACACACACACACACATACATGGCAGCTGGCATCTTGGATTTTGATGTGTTAGCCCAATTTTCAATAGTGACCTTTCTTATGCCTAGATTGTAGTAATACACAAAAAGTTGGTACAGTAGTCCCTTGTTTATAGCGGGGAATCCGTACCCTGAAGCCCCGTGGTAAGTGAAAAACTGTGAAGTAGGAATAGTAGTACAAGTAGTAAGTAGTAGTTTATTTTAGTATTTATATATATAAATATTAAGGGATTTAAACCCTTCCCTCACTCTTGCAATATTCTAAACAATATTTCTAAACTCTAAACGCTCTAAAAGAGCACAGAATGTCATGATTTCAGCTCCCTGACTACTCTGCTCTTTGCCACCTGCAAGTGCTCTTGGCCACACTCACTGCTCCACTCTACACGCAGATCAGCTGTTCAGCTGCAGAAGGAAGTTTATCCTGAGTAAGGGCTGCACAGAGGTGCAGGAGGAAGCTTTTTCTAATTTAAAATAATCTATTTTAAATAAAAATTCCATGCCGATTGTGCAGCTCATCCATATATCAGCTATGTGTGTGTCATGTTCAATCTTATTTTGAAAAACCGCAAAGAGTGAGTCCGAGAGTGAGTCTGCAATAAACAAACCGTGAAGTAGCGAGAGACTACTGTATGTCAGGTACTTTTCAAGTTTTGGTGCTCATAACATGGACAGACAGACAGACAGACAGACAGACAGACAGACGGACGGACGGAGGGTATTTCCAATTCCACATCTTCCACCATTGACCAAACATCCTAATTCATGCTCAGTAATCCAGGACTCCATAAACCATCTCACACCATCAAACTGGTTGACCCACTATGTGAAGGTGCTACTTATACAACTGAGTTTGTTTTGGCTCTTTGGACTGATGAAGTTTTTGAGATGGAAGATGAAACATTTCAACAAAAAGAAACTGTTCAGAGGACAGTTTGGCTGTTTTGTTTCCCCACTGGCCAAAAGGATGGACCAGCACAGAAGATCAACATCATCAGGCCAGGACTCTGCGCTCTACACTCATCTCCAGGCCAGCGGTCACTCTTTCAGGGATGAAGATGTTCACATCCTGGAGAGATAAGAACGATGGTTTGAGAGAGGAGTAAAGGAGGCCATCTTTGTGAAAAGAAATCGTCCATCGTTAAACAGGGGTGGAGGCCTCCGGGTTCAACTGTCCCCCTCTTACAATGCTGTGATTGCTAGTATCACTCAGCCCTCTGTGAACAGTAAACAGCCATCAGTGTGCTAATGATCCATTGTTAGGCTGATGGTCCTTCTTGAGCATGTGATCAGCTGGTTTTGGTTGTCAGCAGCAAACTGGTTGATCCACTCTGAGAAGGTGCTATTTAAGAGACTGAGCTGAATACAGCACCTCAGACTGAGGAAGTCTCTCGGATGAGAGACGAAACGTTTCTACAGTTTTTGTTGATTTGCTTTGTTTTGTTTTTTTGAATGTCCAGAGGACCAGATTTAACTTTTTTAGATTTTTCTACCTGGATTATTGAGCATGCATCAGGATACAACTTGTTTTACTTTCTTTGCTAAGTTTCCTTGTTCTGAAGTTTTCTGTGAACGTGCTGTTTTTTTATTGCCATTCAGACATAGCAAATGTACATTTGTTTTAAATGTTAAATACCACGTTTGTCTAAATGTTCTTTATCGTGTGAACCTGTAATGAAATGTTTTGTGGAAACTCCTCTGTCTTTTTTCTGAGACGTGTGGAGAACATTCAGAAAACGGTCAAAGTGCAGTGTTGGTAGGTTTACCATGGTGAGTGCAATGTTCCTGTGAGCGGTACCTCTTTAGCATCGTCTCTCTCTGACGCCTCCCCTGCGAGCTCCACAGCTGAGTCACACTGAACGTTCTCCTCTCCAGTTTGACCGTCTGTGTTGTGACTCTTCCTCTCAGCTGAGTCGAGCTGCTCGTCATCCTCATCTTTACCATCAGCCTCTTTCTGGAAGTCCCAACAAAAAACTCAGATTAAAACCTTTTTTCTTAATAGATTATGTTGCATTAATAATTTTCATCCTTTCAATCCAAACCTCTGATGTTTCTTGTGAGTCATTTGGTGCCGTCACATCCTCCTCTTCCTCTTTTTCTCCTTCTCTCTCCTCCTCTCCCTCATTTTCTTCATTTTTACAACCTCCTCCTTCCTCTTCCTCCTCTTCCTTCATTTCAGGTTGGTTATTTTTCTCTTCAGGCTGGTTCTCCTCCATCTCCTCTACCTGTTCCTCCTCCCCTCCATTTATCTCTTCTTTCTCCGTTGTTTCTTGGTTCATGGTTTCATCGATGTCTAATGGATTCTCTTCTGAAAAAATAAACTTTATTTAAACTCCAACTAGGGGAAAAATACAATTTAAAGGTTCTACTAATAAATTGTTTCTCACCAAAAAAAACATATTTTTAATAAAAAAACAAGAACAAAAGACCTTATGTAGTCCCTGATCCAGCAGCTTGCAGAACCTCCTGTACCAGTAAAAACTCTCAGTGGTATTTTTCAGTAGAACGTTCATCAGTCTCTCAAGTGGTAGTAGATTCATTTTGACCCACTCTTTTTATCAATGTTGCTTCAGCTAATATAGGTTTGCACATACTGGTTTCTAATCAGCTTTCTTAAGGTCCCACCACAACAATATAATCAGATTGAGGACTTGACTTTGACCAAACCATTGCCACGCTCTGTGCCGGTTCGTTGAGGTGAGGAAGGAGCTGAGCTGCAAGGAGAAGCTTTCTGTTCACCAGTCAGTCTACGTTCTTACCCTCACCTCTGGTCATGAAGTTTGAAGTGACTGAAAAAACGAGATCGTGGATAGAAGCGGTCAAAATCAGTTTTCTCTGCAGGGTAGATGGACTCTCCCATAGAGATAGGGTGAGAAGTTCAGTTATCAGGAGGGACTCAGAGTAGAACCACTGCTCCTCCACATCGAGAGGAGCCAGTTGAGGTGGTTCAGGAATCTGGTAAGGATGCTCCCTGGGCGCCTCCCTAGGGAGGTGCTTCGGGCATGTCCGACTGGGAGGAGACCCCAGGGAAGACCCAGGACATGCTGGAGAAACTACGTCTCTTGCTTGGCCTGGGAGCACCTTGGAGTCCTCCCAGAAGAGCTGGAAGAGGTGGCTGTGGAGAGAGATGTCTGGACCTCCCTGCTCAAACTGCTGCCCCGGGACTCGACTTAGGAATTAGCAGAAGACTGATTAATTTCTGTTTCAGCCATCTTGTTCTAGATTAACAGCTGTGTTTATTCAACCTTTATTTATACAGGTTAGTCACATTGAGTCACAAGGGCTCATTTACAAGAGAGACCTGTTTGAGGTCATTGTCCCGTTGTGTTACGACCCAATTTGGTTTAAGTGTCAGCTGTCGGACAGACAGCCTCAAATTGGACTCTAGAATCCTTTGATCTACTGAGGAGTTCATGAACGACTCAATGATTGCAAGATGTCCAGCTGGTGTGAGGTCTCACCAAACATCAAGTCATTATGGGTAAACACCTGTACATTGGTCTAATCTGTCTAAAGGTCATTGTTCCAGAACTCCTGTGGTTCATTCAAATGAAATTTTACAAACCTCAGTCTAATGATCTTTTCAGAAACATGCCTGTGTAACTCTTCTAAGTCTTTGGTCAGTCTTTTTCTAATTGTCTTGTCGTGACCTTTAACCTTAAACCTGCTAGCTGAGGTTTTTTTCTGCTCAACTAAATTATAAGTTCCTAAAACCTAAAGTAATGCAGGAAAGCCTGTGTTTATTAAATGCCTTGTTCTCACCACCATCATCAGCCTCGTCATCATCTCCAGCTTCATCCTGGTCCAGGTTGAGGTCCTCAGGCAGCTCCATGGCTTCAGGTTCTTGTCTTTTGTCTTGTTCACCATGATATGGGTCCACCTCATTCTCATCAAACTCCCTCTAGAAACCAACAAAAGCAAACATCAGACATCACTTAGAGGGCTCCACCTTATTCAGATAGACCGTGAATGTTTTTTTTTTATTATCAAGATGGGAGAGAAACACCCCGTTAAAGCTCCAGTATGTTCTGTGCATCAAATCAAATCCTTTGAATGTGTTACTATGTGAGGTGGTACTATACTAACTGTGATGAGGCTCGGACACTGATTTGCCTCTTGGCCTCTCATTCATAATATTGGTTGGATTGTAAATGGGATGGGATTTGCTAGAACTGCAAGGAACAGTTTTTAAAAGTTTTTAGTCATTGGGGACTGCCTGAAGGCAGCCCCTTATTATCCAACTAAAATGGGTCATGCTCTCCTCAATGTGTACCCCTACAAATGTTATATCAAAATGACCGTCTCGGCACCGTGATGCATGCTATTACTTTCTTTGGCATTTAGAGTTACCATGGTAACGTAATTTGCTAACAAAGACGCCATTTTTTTCATTGAAAAACACAGCTTCTTGCTGCCACAGTGAGGTCACATGACCAAGAGTGGAGGTCTCTGAACAAAACTCAGGATGTCATTGAACAAGCTCCTCCTACCACCACATATTTAGATACACACACATCTATATCAAAACGTAGGCGTTTTTGTCATGTAAAATTTAAATGGCCGCCACGTGGCAGTCCCCGTCAAAGTTTCTCCTGGAACTTTCTAGTTTAACATCTAGAGTTTATTGGTGGCTATTCCATTAGTTTATGGAGTCAATTCTTATCCCAGTTCATTTTTCTTAGAAAAATGATCACTTCATTAAAAACTAGTTTTAGCATTAGCACAGTGGTGATCAGCTTTACTTAGCTAACTAACCTGGAGAAATCTTAAACTATAAAACTTTGCATGAATAATTATCTAAGATTAGTTACTAGATTTAATTCAAACACCCAGCATCACTTTTGACTTTCATTTATAATTACACTTTAAAATAGTAATTAAAAGTCCAACTCTTTTCACCTGAGGAGCATTACACATCCTTATTTACGTTCTCTATTTAAAATACATCATTGACATGGCAAACATTTATTTTAACGGCTGAGCAGACAGGTTTTGCAAAAGACAGATAAAATGAAAGGCTAAGCATTATTTTCAAGTCACCTGCCGACTCTCATGCCAGAGTTTTAAGCCAAGATCGTCTGATGATGGGAAGGGACAGAATTAGAGTGGTTTTGGTCAAATCTTGTGAAGGACATTAAGTTTGATGTCACAAAATATAACAAGGTGTCTCTAGGCCTGTTATGATAACGAATTTTGATGGGCGATTAATTGTCTCAGAAATTATTATGTTTAACAAAAATATTGTTTGAAATTTGACAATAATTAGTAATTATTGTCAAATTTAAGAAGAAATGTTTGTTAATTTGGTTTGCATGTAGTAACTTTTTCGACCACTGGATGGCAGTATAAGACTGTTTGAACTGAAGGTTGGATAGTGAGGGAGCGAGCAGCGTGTCTCTAAGAAAAATGAGAGGGAGGCCCCTTGACGTGACATGAGCTGTCTCTTTTCGGTTCTCAAAATGGCGGACGCTCGGTGTGGTTTGAGCTCTTCAGAATAGCATTTTTTCACACAAAGCTTTTAATAAAATATCAGTAAACAAGTTCTCAGCTTCTTTTTGCAGAGAAAAACAACTTTTTAGATGAAGGCACAGGTTTCAACCGTGAATTTTGGCGCTTCGACAAGATGGAGGTTTTTCCCGAAGTCGGCCTGTTAGCTTAGCTCGTAGCTTAGCTTCTCAGCTTAACAGTAGAAAGAGAGACCAGATGAAACGATAAAGCTGAAAAATGAAAAGGAGGTTGATAATTTTAATTTATCATGCGATTAATTGATTTATTGTTTATCGCTACAGGCCTAGGTGTCACATGATCTGTTAGCTCTCAGAATATGTGTTGAGGATGATGCTCAGCTACTACTGCACCAAATTTTTAGCTTAGTATCTGTAAAAATGACAGAATTATATCTATTTTTGTGTTTTCTGAGGTTGATTGGCTGTGATGGCCAACTTAACTTAGCTTGACTCTAAAAGATAAAGATTTGTAAAAGTACAGCTAATGATAACTTCCTGAAAGTTTCAGTAAAATCTATTCAGCAGTTCATAAGATATTTTGCTAACAGACAAACACAGACAACAAACAAGCTGTTAAATGTTTTAATTCCTTAAATTTATGGCATATCTTTAACCCTCCCCGTCAATAGTTTGGACAAGCCCCTCCCCCTTCTTACCTCATCTCCTTGTTCATGAATCTTCTCTTTCTCGTCTTCACAAGTTTGTTCATCTTTGTCCTGGTTTTTCTTGTCTTTTTTGGAGTCCTCCTTGTCCAAGTTATCGTCTTTGGCAACCAGCTCTGATTCACCCTTGGAGATTTATATGCAGACAGAAAATTGAATATTTAAACAAAACCTGGTTTACCTATTAAACTGAATATATTTACAACAAGGTACATATAAACTAATGTTCATCGTTAGTTGGCCACTCTGCCACAGAAAAAACTGAAGGTACAGAAGTGAGAATATGAGCGAGTCCACAAAAAGAAGCTTTGGAGGATCTGAGTTAATTCATTGTATTTAGTAAATGAAACAAAAGAGACGTCCGTCACACATTTAATGTGTTGCGCTCCATGTCAACTCAGCTGAGTTCTGCTCCACGACTCTTTTGGTTCAACACGGCTTGCTTCATTTCTCAAAGCTCACGTCTGAGCAGGAATGATCGGAGAGATCAGGAGTGATTTATGATCAGCCAGAGGGAGGAGAAAGAACTGGTCTGTGTGGACATTTTTTTAAACCTGTTTTATGGAAGTCAATCGTAAAGCCCTTTGCAGAACCGTGAGAAGTTATAAAGGTTCTATAGAACGAGTTGCAATTAGGAGAATCTACACCAGCATGACTCTGTCCTCATCTGGTCTGTACTAAACTTGAAAACATACCTGATCCATGCCTTGTCCAGACTCCTCCTCCTCACTTCCTTCTTCCTCTTCATCATCATCTCCCCACATTCTTTCATCCAGAGCATCTGTCTGACCCTCTCCCAGGTCTCCCATCTTTTTGTCCAGTTCCTCTTCATCCTCTTTAGATGAATCCTCATCGTCATCTAGAATTGATCAGAATAAGAATAAACCAGTCAGCAAAGGTTTGCTCCAGTGTTTATTTCAAATCTCAAGAAAATAGTATTTGATGCTAGTGGGACAAAGGAAGAATCAAACAGGACATTTCAACACTAGCTGGTGATTTATTTTTCACACTGTGGTTATAAATCCAGTTCACTGAGGTATCTGACCATCATTCGCCCTGAGACTGATGAGACAATGAGCTTATATATGGCAAAATTATTTTTTCAAATTGTTGAAACAAAGTGTTTTGGGGGTTCTAACATAAATAAAGGAGACTAAACATAAAACTATTTTAAGGCTTCTCCTGACCCTGAACAGGAACAAGTGAATTAAGAGATTGGATAGATGGGTTAATCTCCATCAATCCATCCCCAGCTCTGAACAAAACCAGCTCTTTTTTCTTAGCGCGAGACTGGTTTTTATGGTAGAGTCAGTAGTTTCAGTGGTGAAAACAGAAAGAACTGGTTCTAAGTGAGCCCCAGCCCCAATATGATTTAGTTTGGCGGATCCCTTTTCATTCAACTGACCTGATTTATTTTCATCGCCATCGTGCATTTGGCCATTAAAGTCTTCTGACATTTCAATGGCATTGTCTTCTGACTTGATGTTCTCCTTGTCCTGCTCGTCTTCTTTCTCCTGACCCTCCTGAAAGTTGTCCTCAACCTCAAGGATTAATAAAAAAAATTTAAAAAAACAATTACATGAGAGAAATAGAGAAACCATCTTATACATTGGTGGAGACGACAATCCCAAAACAAAACATGGACCAACAGTCTGTATGTTTAGAGAATATCAAAAAGTTTTTCCCACAAACACAAAATCCTGGTGCATTTCAAACCAAACAGGAACCTCAGACAGAACCCGGATCTCTAAAATCAATACCTCACAGGGCTGTGACTGGTGGAGACCAGGTGGTGAACAGCATTCACAAGAGAGTTTTCGATGTGTCCTAAAATGTTCGCAGGTTTCCCCGTGATTCGCTACCTCATCATGGTGGTGGGGTCTGTGCCTGAATGATCCTAAGAGCCACGCTGTCCTCCCTGAGCAGACTGGTCCTACCTGACAGAGTGATCTGCAACACGTACGGACGGTAAAAAACAAGTTGCTCAGACGTGAGCAACCTGGGGGACTCCCCTGGAACTAGAGAGGGGCTCGTCTTCGAGCACCTGCTGGCTGCAGATCAGTGACAGAGACATCTATGGGAATATTGAAAAATGTCTGTTTTCTGTGATTTTATTCATCAGAGTGGATTTAATGCAGCACGGTGAGATTCTCCTTAGTTTAATGTTTGTTCTGTTTGATTTTAAATCTGTTTGGATTGTGTGGCCGTGGTGTAGTGATTACATCACTATTTTATTTTCACAGTGAAGATGATGCAGTTGAAGCCAGCAGTGTGTTGTTTTACTGTTGTGGAGCATCGTGGGTTAAAACATTTGGGTTTTACTCTGACACAGAACTCAGCACACAGCTGTGTGTACCAGCCACAGCCCACCTGAACACAAAGCTCTGTGATGCATCTGAACATTATTTTCTTGCAATTCTGAGTCACCAACTTGTCTCCAACAGTCGCACTCTACAAAAAACAACGAGTTTTGGAAATGATGTTAGCCAACAGCTGACTGATGACACAAGTGTCCAAGTACAGAGATGTGTTGCTCCACCACGTTAAACAAGCAGTATGCTGATGTCTCCTGTCACTGAGGGATTTTAATAGTGAATGTTTGTCATTTTGAAATGAGTGTTTTTCTGGACTGAAATTGAACAGGGAATGTAATTAAACCTTAATGTGTTTGGTGCAAGATATTCAAGTAGGTAGGAGTTATGGGCCCTGCATTCTCCATCCAAAGCGGTGAAACAAGCTCTCGTTGTAGCTGTGTGATGAAAACTGCTTCATTTTGTTCTCAGAGCAGCTTCGCCCGCCCCTTCTCGACACAAGGCCCGGGTTTATCGCACAGGTGTACGCTCCAGGTATTGTGTGGTCAGAAGTTTGTGGACGTGTTCGTCAATGTGGAAATGCAATTCAGACATTCAGCTGCACAGCTCTTCAAACACACTAAAATAGTCAAATGGTCAAAAACTCCTGGATGGAGATTGTGCACACATCGTGCACTGAAGAGTCTGTCTGCTGAAAAGTGTGGCGTTTTCTTCATGATAAATTTGCGGCCAAATGGTGGATGCAGGGATGGAGTGGAGACCCTAGTGGGAAGACGGGTTGAAAGGTGCGTGCGAAAACGAACATCCTGCAAACACGAGACCGTGAGCGACTGTTCGACTTTGGATGGAGCATGTTGGGCCCTTTACACTGTGTATGAGAAGAGAGGTAGTTTGTTGTTGTTTTGTTGCTTGTCCGAGGCGATGCAGTGACTGATCCTGGTGAGTGGAAGGAGTAATTTTATCCACCACACGGTGCAAGGGCGGAGCCAGGGGTGGCCAATGATGGCCTTGGAGACCATATATTAATCTTCTGCCACCCCAGTCATTTGAGAAAACTATACCTTTAAGCAATATAAAAACTAGAAAACAGTTTCTTCCGATGATAGGGGTGGTCAGATTATATTTGGTGGTGGCCATCTTGGATTTTGACCTGGCAACCCAACTGTCCTTAATGACCTTTCCTATACATAGATGCAGCCACATACTAAAATGAAAGTTGGTATATTGCTTATTTTTTAAAGTTATGCAGTTTACGCGGTTAAATTATGAACAATTATTGTGGTGGCCATCTTGTATTTTGACATGGAAACCCAGTCTTCAAAAGGAAACATTCTTATGCCTAAATGAAGCCACACACTAACTAACATGGAAGTTGGTATCGCAATTATTTTTCAAGTTATGCTCACAACATTCACGGATAGACAACCAGATGGAGGGTATTTCCTATTCCCCCCCTCTTTAATCCGTGATGGGGGACAACAATCACTTTTAGTTAAACCAAGACATAATTTACTAAGACATTTATGGTTTACTTACAGTAACTATCCTCTCCGTGTACAGACTATATATTTTACGGTCCTCAGTACTGCAGATCAGATTAGCCCAACTTTGCCTCTGATTGGCTCTTTGTGCTTAACTTTTATCCAAACATTGTTCCACAAGTCATCTGAGCCTCTGAATTTGACCCAGTCAGAAGCAGGTTTATGAGAGGTGCTGGTACTGAGTACCAGAAAGTACTGGCTCACTTATGACATTCTTGCATTGTAAGGCCACAGCCTGGTCTGACCCCAGTCTGACTGACTATCCCAGCCATGGTGGTGTTTGCTTTGAGTAGAGTGTTGCCTCGATGTGGGCGGGGATCATATCAAAAGTCATATTATTTGTGACAAAAAAAAAAGGACATTGAGCTCGTGCTACTTATCTTTGTTCTCTATACAATTCATGAGAAGCAAAACCAGAGCCCTCTCTCATAAACCAACAGCAACACACTAGTTGAAGGAGTGATCAGTTACTGGAGGATGACTCAACTTCAACTTAACCCCCCCACCCCCAGGCCAGTGTACCCAATCAAGGCATGAAGACATGACCACTTTTATCCGAATGGGCTGATGAGCAATGTGTTTTCCTTTTGGCTGCATCAATCCCATTCTGTATATTTGGGTGGGGGTGTTATGTGCCTGAGGCACATTATTGTTATCATTTGTTCTTTGGACATATTTTGGGTTTTGGGTTAACTAATTAATTTTTGATTGTTTTGAGCTGTGACATTTTCTGCCCACCTATAAATGGGCTGGCCTTCAGGAGCTGTCTCCCTCTTTTTCTTTGGATCCCTCTGTTTTTGCCTGCTCTCTGGCCACCCTCATGTTTTTGGCTCTTTTTCTTCTTGCTCATCCTGTCACCCGGATAAGTCAATGGTGTAGGCCACAGCCGCTGGTCTCAGCTGGAAAAGGTAGTTTTTTGTTAACTTTTCTCTACATTTTTGTTGTAACTTTGGCCTGGTGGGACAGGTGGTCCTGTTTTTGCTTTTTCTTTTACAATAGGTGTTTTTTAGGCTTTTTTTCTAGTTTAGTCCGGTACCAGCAGCGGCTTCGACGGCCCTGTATAGAGTTGGTCCGCTGCTATACCCTTTTTTTTTTTTTTTGGTCCTGGTTGATCGACTCACCAGGTCCATCTTTCTGTTGATACTTTGTGTTTTTGTGTTGGACATGGGGAGTGGCCGTTTGTGGCCTTCTTTTTTTTTTGTTGCTTGCAGCGGATTGACCAGGAAGAGAAGACCTTTAAATAAATTGAACATTGAACCCTCGTGTTCTGAGTCCGTGTCCTTATGAATGTTTTGTTATTGGTGGACGTAACAGGCCAACAGTATGTTGACGTCAAATCGGCCCCAACAGCCTGGCCCGAACAGATTTCCAGGTCTCTGGGTTCCAGGAATCAAGCTGGAAGTAGACCGTAAGCCAAATGCAAATACGCAGAACCTGGGTTTGATCTCAGAGTGGGCCGAGCCGGGCCTTACGATGCAAAATGTCATTAGAGCACTGTTCTGTTCTCAAACCCTTTTAAAGAGTCCAGGACATTCCTTACTTGATCTTCATTCTCAATTTTGTCACTGACGTCTTTGGTGCCGTCACCCTCTCCAATACCACCGTTCTCAAAATCATGAAACTCTGTGGCACCATCTCCAGCAGCCATCAGCTCCTGAGGCAGGCAGAAGCCCTGAGGAGGATATCAAAACAACTCATTAGTTTTGCCATGAGTTTTCCGTTCACTTTTAATGATCAAATCATCTATCATCCATACCTTCTGAGCAAGCTCAGTGAAGATGCTAGCCAGGACAGACAACAGTTTTCCTGTGCTCCTATGTACCCCAAGAGACACAGCCAGGTAGTACCGCACTAGGTCTGAGTACACCCCGAGTAGAGGTTCAACACGCGCCAGCATCCTGCACGCCCTGTTTACTCCCTGAGCCACAAAAGACAAAAGCATATTATCAAATCAAATAACATTAAATATGAAAATAAGATGTGGAAATGTGCTTTTGTTTATGTCCATTCTGAATTTGTTTCTCTTTTCTGTCCTCTTAAACCCCATCCAGTCGAGGCAGACGGCTGCTCGTCCTGAGCCTGGTTCTGCTGGAGGTTTCTTCCTGTTAAAAGGGAGTTTTTCCTTTCCACTGTCGCCAGTGTGCTGCTCAGGACAGAAAACTGCAACAGAATGGAGATTCAACGCAATCTGCTGGCTTCCTTAGATCATTTTTCCTAATTGGCATTTTATTGCGTATGTTATGTTCTACAGATCACTGAGACGTTTGTTGTGAATTGGCATTTTAAATCAACTGAACTAAAAATTTAACTTTGGCATCAGCTCTGTTGACACATTATGGCTTGAACTCAGTGTCCAACACTCTAGGAACTTGCTCAGACCATCTATTCTGAGTGAACTGATTGCTTTGGATAGTGCTAAACACATGTCTGAACATGCTCTGAAGACCTCTATCAAAACCACCATGGGAAGTGGACCACTTTAATCTGCATTTGTTTGGTTGTTTGAACACAATCTGTCCTGAGCCAGTGACCAGAAACAAGCAACAGTCGGCTGAGGCGAGCTGGTCTGGGAAGCTCAGTCCTCACCTCCTTCTACAGGTGTGCAGTGGAGAGCGTCCTGTGCTCGAGCATCAATGTGTGGCATGGAGGCTGCACAGCTGCAGAAAGAAAAGC